AATTAAAGCATTTTGCCACTTTACAGTATAATTAATTTTGTCTTCTAATTGTATTCTAGAAGAGTGTGGTGTATATATTAGAACACCAAATACTTCTTCAGAATCCTACTTAGTACATGGTAAGTGGAGCATTTTGGTGTAGCTTTTTTTATATTTAACAGTATTGCACTCTGGATTTTTTTCCCACCCAGTACTGATTTGATTTTAGCATTATCTAAAATCATATTTATTGGTAAAAGCAGAGTGCCAAATACTCTATGAAGGCCACTTGAATTTACTTGTTACTACTGAAAATGGCCTGTTGATTAAATTCAGGCCCGATTTTACCTCTGCAAACACCAGCTTAGAAAAGCAGCCACACAGCTGAAGTTGCTGCGTGGCTTTGTTTTTGTGTGTGCTGTGTGAGGCTTTGCTGGTGTTTTTATGAGTGCTGAGTGGTTTCTGTGGCCCTGTTGTGGAGCAGGCAAGAGGAAAAGCGAGGAGGTGCTGCGGGGCACGGCGAAGCGGCAGCGGGCCGAGCACAGCGCCGAGCACCCCCCGTTCTACTACAACATCCACCGGCACAGCATCAAGGGCATGAACATGCCAAAGTAAGTGTGGCGTCACCCTCAGCCCGGTCTGACACTGACACACAGCTTGTTCTGAGTCAGCCCTGGCAGCACCACATCTGTTCTAAATGCAGGGCTTTGGTTCTTCCCAGGTTAAATAAGTTCCTGAACTATCTGTCGGAGGCCGGATACCGCGTGAGCCGAACCCACTTCGACCCCATGGGAGTGCGCACCAATGCGCCCCTGGCGCAGTTCAAGACTGTTCTCATGAAGTACAGCACTCCCACCTACGTGGGGGCACAGGCAGAGGGCCCTGTGCATCTCCCTGGAGAGATCCAGGTGGGAGAAGAGGTTCCAGCTGCTGCAGTGATCAAGGTGGAGGAGGCTGAGTTGGCAGAAGATGATAAATCCGGGGTTGCCGCTGCTGTGGTCACAGAGTCCTACCCCACTCACTGTGCTGCTGAATAATGCAGATGGGTTTGTTCATCAGGATGTTACAGACTTCCAGCACACCCTGTTCCAGTAAACCACTCCTTCCTCCCAAGCTGGAGTTTGACCGTTTTGAGCTGCCTGTTGTACTTGGAAGGGACAGTTTAGACTTAGGTAACAGAACTTAGCCCTGATCCCAGCAGGCTGTGGTCACAGAACCAGCACTGTGGGAAGGCTGTGGAGTTACCTGCTTTTATGCTCACCTCCTTTTCACACTGAGGCATGGAGGCTGCTTCCCAGTCTGTGCAAGCCTTACTGCCAGCACAGCATCCAGGAGGTGGGACAGGGCCAACAGTGTTCAGCATTTTGGAATATGATATTATTGTGAAACAGCCCGTTCCTAAAATGCATCATTCCTAAAACCTGGCCAGCTGTGATCCAGAGAGAGGGCATGTTAAGGTAACAAAATAGCACAGGATAAAATGCCCTCTGAGTTAAAGCCAGGCAGTCCTGCCTGGGTGCAGCTGTAGCTCCAGGTTGCACATGTAACTCTGCATTCAGGTCTGTTTCCAGGGTTCTGCCTCCAGGCAGGAGCTGATCCCAGGAGAACAGGAAGGAGCGGTGACACGGCTGCTAGTGAACTTCAGTTTGTACCCAAATCGTAGTGAATTGTGTAGTCACTCTAGGTAGTTGTCTGCTCAGAGCTTACAGTGGTTGTGTGCTGCAGAAAGGTACAGGGACAAGGGACCACACTGGACCTTCAGGTGAAGTTTGTGGTGCGTTGTCAATAGTAACTCTGAGCTAAGATCTCTTCTGTGAAGGAGCAAAGCTGCCAAGTGTTGGCAGTTCTGGTTTCCTTAAATACATGGCAGCATTCCAGCCAAACGAGCTTGCCTTTGTCCTTTCTTTGCCCCACACTCAGTTTTGTTATCTCTGTGTATTCCACTTGAACAGCTGTCAGCAGTGGTTGCCATTTCTCCCAAGTTTGCTGTTCACTCTGTCCCCCAGTGTTAGGTTTATCTAAGAGCAGAATATGAAGAGTTATTATCCTTATCCATCTCTGAAACTTTACAATAGAAGTAATAGGACTAATACACTCCTGATGATGCAAAACATCCTATGCTCTCTCAGGCCAGGCAGAAGTTGCTGCCTCTTCTACTCTCTTCAATTCCAGATTGCTTTGGTGGAGAGTTATTCTTAGTTTCAAAAAGGAAGAACCCACTGAAAGGTTCTTGAATCAGTGATACAGCAGTGTTTCCTTCAAAAATGCAGTGCTTACAGTTCTTTTCCAAGGATCACTGGGGAGCACATTGAAAGCTAAGTGGAAGGAGAATTTCACGTTCCCACTTTCGGGTTTTTAAGTGGATAGTGTTGGCACACATGGCTTGCAGGTAACACACTTCAGTGTTAGGAGGATAAAAGCAGTCCTAAAGTCAGTTACCTGGGGCAAAGGATTGTTCTGATTACAGTAAATTAGGCTAAAAAGAAAGTTTAACTGAAGGCCCTTATGGGAAATACTTTTGATTACTCTTGCAGCTCCTTTTAAGGAGCCAAAGTATTGAATACCTTTTCCAAGCTAATGCAACTATTCCCATGTGTTTGGAAGGGCAGAAAAAGTGAAACTCAAGACTTGTCTGTACAATCTGGGCTCTTTTCCTCTGCCAGACAGGCAGAAGCTGTTGTAATCTGTCAGGGTCCAGCTGAAGGGGTGTTTGTAACTCAGGCCTCTGGGAATTCTTTTCCTATCCAGCAGTTGTCTCTGCTGTGGACCAGGTAGGGTCAGCCCTGCCATCATCAGCTGACAGAACATTACTGCAGGTTTGAGCCTGGAGCTTGGGACACTTTGTTCTTCCTTGCACAGATCCACATGGCCAGGAAGCTTTCTGGGAGTTGAAGCTGTTCAGAGGCAATTTGGGTAACCAATGGTGGCCCAGAGAGCAGCAGGATTTCTTCAGTCAGAGATGATCATATTCAGTACATCTCAAGAAACCCCACACTGGGCATACTCAAGCATTGCCTCTTAACTCAAGGTGCATCCTCTGGTTAAAAGTTGTGGTGAACGTAGAGAGAAAACAAGGAAAGGAACAAAACCTGATCTCTCTAAACAATGCACCTCAGCTGAAGGGGTTCATTACAGTTGCTCTGTGCTGCTCTTGACTAAAGGTGTCCAATAGTTAAATGCACCCAAAGTTGCTGGGCTTAACCAGAGTGCTGTGAAAATCCTTCATCCCCTTCCTCAGGCTGCAGAGTCTGGTTGGAACAGCAGCACCTGTGACAGGTCAGTGGAAGAGCTGACAGCTTCTGTGTGCCCCTTTTTGTCACTCAAGGCTCAGGAGCTGAGCTGCTCTCAAGGGACTGTAACAGCCACCACTGGTGGGGCTGAGCTGCACCTGCACAGCCCCAGGCATTGGCAGCATGAACAAAAACACTGCCCAAAGGGAGTCCTTCATCAACCAGAAGAGGAAGCAGCACTGCAATTCCCAACAGGTTGTTGATAACATTTTTGCTTTTATTGTCAATTTGAGCATTTCAGTGGGACTTTAGTTGGATAGGAGATACTTTAGTTGGATATTGGGCTTACCCGTACGTAACACACTTTATGTACTTACAAAAGAACATGGCTTTAAAAGGGGAAGAATAATGGCATTTGGAAAATAAAATAGTTTATAGCACTAAAGAGTCACAGTGCAATCAATGGTTTAATCAAACAACTACATTATATATATAATATTTAAAGAACATAAATATTCAGGAAATTCACTACAACATGAAAATAAAAGCTTCACATTCTCTCACGCTTTTCAAAAGAACTGGAGACAAAGTGACAGCTCCTAGACAGACTGCTCAGCTTCACAACACCTCTCTTGCTTAAGGGACTGTCCCTCCCCTCAGCTCCCCCAGGAGGGATGCTGGCACTAATCTAGAAGTTCTCCCCAGTAACTTTAAAGCATTTAGCACAGCCACTCCCCCACCCCCCGTTATATTCCGTGGACATGCACTACAGTCTATACAGCAACGCTTCACAAAGTCAGCAAAAACGGGTTCCTAATAGCTGCCCCTCTGTGCTCTGGGGCCTGAACTCTTCCATTTCTTGTCACAAAAGCCCAAGGCTCTCCAGTCAGAGGAAATAATTAAGTTACTCAAAGAAGCCTGTGCAGTTTCCACAGCGGGATAAAGCTGATCTGAACAGCAGCCAGCAGGGACACTATTTACAAGTGCTAGGAAAGCCCAGAGCCAGGGAAGGGCAAGTCCTTCCCAGGAGAATCCCCGAGCAGCAGAATACTTTTGTATCACATGCCAGAGCCAGTGGGAGTCCAGGCAGGACACAGGAGGAGTGTAAACCACACACTGTGGAGTAAAGCCTGGTGCTTCCCACCTGCCACCAACTCCTTTTGCTTTGAGCCTCAGGGGAAAACGGGAGGGTTCATCAGCAAGTCTCAGAGCAAAGGGAGCCTCGTGGTGACAGCTTCCCTTCAGACAGGACATGGAACAGGTCAAGCTGCCCCCTCAGAGCCACAGCAAGGTCCAGAACCAGAGTACAGGGGCTGTACACACAAATGACCAGCAGCTACCAGGCCTTACGGCACAGCTCGCTGCCACGCTGGGAAACTTGAGCCTAAAAGTAAGACACTAAATGGTAAACTTTGTCAAGTACTGAAGTTGTCTTCCAAAGTGCTAAGCCATGTTTGTTAAAGCTATGGCAAAGTAACAAAAGTAGAATCTTGGAGCAGCTAACAATTGAAGTCTTCACTACTCACACTGACACTGGGAAAGGTCCCTGCTGGGGTGGCACAATTCCCCAAAGCAAAGCATTTTGATGGCTGTGTGCTGGAATTTGGGGAATTTGCTTTAACAAAAAAGTTTTCTGTACAGTTCTTTACAGCACATTCACAACAGAGATCCTACTCTAGCGAACAGAGCAGGGCTATGAAACATCCAGATTTCCTTCAGTTCGGCTGTGAGGACAGGGCAACATTGCAGGGGGGGCCAGGCAGGAATCAAGACTGCAGGACATGCCATGGGGAAGAGTTATGGGTTAGGAAACAGCCATTAAAAACAAAACAAATCTGATGAACCGCTTTGCACTGAAGTATTAAATTAAGCCCAGTAAACAGGAAGGTTTTAAAGTGTCAGTTTTCTCACTGCAGCTCTCTTTGGAATCCCAGAATCCTAGGATGGTTGGACTTGGAAGGAACCTTAAACACCATGTCAGTCCAAGCCCCTGCCATGGGCAGCAATACCTCTCACAAGATGCAAAACTCACCTTTGTTCACAAGAAAATGTCTTAATGAACCTTTCCTAGGGAATCAGATTACCTCTAGCTGCAAGACAATCCCAAACTCATTCTGTGCCAATCAATTCTTCAGATGGATAACAGTCACCGAATTCCAACATTTAACACATTCCTTGGCATATGCTACTATTGAACAGACTTCCTTGGCCACCCAACACTCCACACTTCACAGAGGCTACTAAAACTGTGTCTGATGGAGCAGAAATCCAGATTTACCTGGACAAAATGAAGCCATTCCAAACCGGAACACTGGATCAGATATCATGCATTAGGAACAAAAAATCATCTCAAACACTGGAATGCACTGGAGGTCATTTAGTCTCCTAAGGGAAAAACCAAAAAACCCAACCCAAAGACTAAATTAAATACAGCCCAGAATACTGTCTAGTCATATTACTGAGTATACTGAGTGCCTGAAGGCACCACGTGTGCTGTCCATGAAGATACTGGTGGTGCCTTATTTTAATATTAAAGAAGTTGTAGCTATAAAAAGAGTTAGTTCCATCCCAGTTTCCCAGCACTTATTTGTGCTCCTTGGTGGGGGCATAGTACAGTTCCATGGGTTTGTTCACTTTCCAGTACTTCTCACTGACCAGTTCCAGGGAAAAGGACCCATTTAGCACCTACAAGAGAACAGCAAAACAGGAATAAATTAGACAATCTGGTGTTATGCTGTGATACAGGCTACTTAAATCAATGCTTAAATGTGCTGGCTTGAAGGAGTCACCAGTAATGTGACACAAGTTGTGGGGGAAAAGAATGTAAGAGAATAGTGCAGAAAGCAATCTCACCCCTGAGGAGTTGCAGCTGCACTCATCACCAAAGATCAGGAACAGGCCTGCCCTGAACAGGCCACAGCTGTGTCCAATAAGGATGGGTGCTATAAAAGAGTGGCTTAGGTGGGTGAGAAGGGAGTTGGAGCTTGTTGGTTGTGCCGTGAGGAAGGAGTCAGTGCTGTAAAGAGCTGCCTGTGAAAAATCTCTGAGAAGGTAGGGGAGCTTTGCACTAAGATGACAGCAACAAGTTGCAAGCTAAAAACCACAAAGATTCTCAAGTGTGTAAGCTGGGTCATGGTTGGTGCTATTGCTGCATTCTCCCCATTTAATTTCTATGCCTCCTTTTCTACCAACCAAGTTTTTGCCAAAAAACAACTGATCTGCTGCTAAATAAGCTCGTGCAGTGAACTTCCCCTGAGCCCAGCAGTGTGTCTGGAGCAGGGGTGCAGCAGGGCTGTGCCCAGCCGGGCGCGGTGCTTACAGTGAACTGGCCGGCGGCGGTGGCGATGTAGATGGTGTACTGCTTCTCACTGGCCGTGTCCAGGTTCATCTGGTTGGACTCTCCTTTGCTCCGCAGCTCCTCCAAGGCCAGCCTCACTGCCAGGTACTTGGACAGGTGATCAACTGTGGCATTGCCTGAGGTCTTGATGTACCTGTGACAGCAGCCAAGAAGAATTTCCACAGATTGTCAGTAATGACTGAACAGCAGCTGTGGGAAAAGCCATCTGCAATGCCTCAAATATTAAAGGTCAGCTGTGAAAACGCCTTTAGAGACAGTTCCCAGCTGAAGATTTGCATAGATTTACACACATCACAGAGAGATGTCTCATCAGCAGACAAAGCCAAGAAAAGACCTGAGGAAACACCATAAAACTACTCTCTGCTGTGAGCCAAAACTTGCAATCTGTGCTTGCACTGGATTATGAACAAAAAAAGTCAGGAAAAGCTGCCAGCCTGCAAATCCTGCTGACACAAAGCTGCTCTGGAAACCGCTGACGCTTATACAAGGTTTGTTTATTCCCAAAGAATCTTAGCGTGAGTAGAAAGAGGCTGATGTAACACGATCATCCCACTACTGAACTGCAATGCTAGAAAACCTTAAAAAATCTTTATTTGTGATCAAAAGCTTAAAACAGCTTAAGATCGTATTTTTTATAATAGTTGAGCAGTACTACCTACCTGACTTGGAACAGAAAGAAGGGGAGAGTGCTTATTTGCATCTGGCCTTGGCACAGGGTGCCAAGAGAAGCTGTGGCTGCCCCTGGATCCCTGGCAGTGTCCAAGGCCAGGCTGGATGGGACTTGGAGCAAGCTGGGATAGTGGAAGGTGTCCCTTCCATGGCAGGGGTGGCACTAGATGGGCTTTAGGGTCCCTGCCACTTCATCCTGTGATACAGTTAAACAGGATGCAGTGTAATTGAAGTAAATTGATGTTCAGAAGCCCCAAGAACTGATGGAAAACCAAATCACCAGGCAACAGCAGCAGAACACCAGGAGATGGCAAAGGGCCACTGACCTTGTCTGCGCACTGTCATCGTTCTCCATGAGGGTGGGGTGAGGCCTGAACACCAGCTCGATCTCACTGGCCCCGTCCATCACGGGATCTATGGCCACAGTGGTGTTGTTGTTGTCCAGCTCCAGCCCAGAGTCATCTGAGGTTTTGGTCCTCTTGTTGCTGGGCCCAGCTTCCTGGTTGCTGTGTGTGGAGGCGTTGCTGCAGTGGGAGCTGTCGCCGTTGTCCTCGGCCCCGCTGCCGTTCTCAATCTGCTGCTTCTTGCCCCGCTGCAACCTGGCCACAAACAGGCACAGACACAGCCTGACCCATCCAGAATACAGCCAGGTCACAACACACCTCCTCCCCAGGTGAGGCATGTGCACATGCAAGCACTGAACATTTCAGAGAGATTTAAAGTTAAAAAACTTACTAATATTAGTTCTTTAGTAGAGAAAGATACTCATAGCCAGACCTTTTCATTCTTTCATGACCCTCAAATACCTTTTAGCTATGTTTTAAGACTGTTTTAACTTCACACTGTTGTTTTTCAGGCAATTGCAGACCATTATTTTCATCCAAGCATGGATTAGAATTATTACACATTATTAGAATTATCACATCCACATGTGATTGAAATTATTAAATCACACCATGTTTATCATGCAAAGTTTGGAGCCTCTCTCCCAGCTGGCTCTCTTAGGTTTAAATGCACATCTGGAATTTCACCATGGTGTAAAGACCACATATTCCAGCCTGTGAATTAAGTCACAACTAAGCCTCAAGTCCTGGTATTCTGTGCATTTACTGGTATGTAAGGGGGTAGCATTTTGGTACAGGATTCATGGTGTTATGGTTTCTTATCTAAGACACGACAGTCATAATTGGGTAAGGCTAAGCTGAAGTTTCTGTCAGGCTGCCACAGAAGTTGCAGGGAGTGATACAGAGATTTCTGATAGTAGATAAAAGGTTAAAAATCCTTTTGCCAAAGGTTAAAAACTGTTTTGGCAGGTACCAGAGGAGGAACAGATTCTCAAGCTCCACAGGACACGAGGACAGGCATTGTATTTTTAGCCTCAAGGCAAACGAGGTGATTATGTACCTGTTCATAGCCTGAATCTTTAATCCCTCCTCGATGCTGTGACTCAGGGCTTGCTGGTTGTTGTGCTTGCTGATCCTGGCCAGCACCCTCTCCTGATGAGCCTCGTACTCATCCCGGCTCGGGTAAATCTTACTGATGAGAGCGTCGAAATTGGGGTCTGGCCGCAGGGATCTTTTGGAAACGAGCTTTTTGCGACATGTGGGACATTCTTTGTTCCTGGACACGGACAGGAAGGAAGCAAACAACACTTAACGCTCCAGCAGTAACAAAACTCTGCCCTGGTGCTTCCATTCTTGGTCACAGTGCTCACTAAGACTCAGTGTTTATAGTAAATTTGGAAAGGGGCTTCTGTCTCTTGACATGTCAGGTGGTTGCAGATATTTAAACAAAGATCCCAAACAGATCTCTCCCTGGTGCTTTTCTATTTTAAAGTATGTTTGAGCAAACTTTAGACTGAAGAGATCACAAGTCCTAAGTTCCCTTCTTCTCTTCTTTTTCTGGATGGATTTTTACCTAGAAAAAATGGATGTCTAATGGAAATTACAAAGAGGCATAGTCTTAGGAGGAAATTCTTCCCTGTGAGGGTGGGCAGGCCCTGGCACAGGGTGCCCAGAGAAACTGTGGCTGCCCCTGAACCCCTGGCAGTGTCCAAGGCCAGGTTGGATGGGGCTTGGAGCACCCTGGGCTGGTGGAAGGTGTCCCTGCCCATGGCAGCAGTGGGACTGGATGGGCTTTAAGGTTCCTTCCAAGACAAACCATTCCGGGATTCTATGATTCCATTTTTTCCAACACTCACAGGACACATAATTTGAAATGGCTGAAGGTCACATAATTTGAAATATATCGTTAGGAAAAGAAAGAATAAGGGAAAATGAACCCCATTTTTGTCAGTAATGTGTATTTTTGTTTCACTGTTACTGGACCTAAGGGACAAAAAGAATACAAAAAAGGCCTTCAACTCCTTGCAAGACACAAAATTATGAAATTATTTTTCATGAGGAAGCAATTTGATCTGTCTTGCAGAAATGGCTGAACATGGAAAAACAGGATTTGAAAAGTGTGCTGCACATTCAGAAACTCCCAGTGCACAGTGACTGTCCCACATCAACCCTGCCAAGGACATTTCCACCTGAAGTGCAATGGACTGTCTAAGCCTTCTTCCCTCCAGTGTTCATCCCTGCTCCTGGCAGCATCCCCTTCTTGTCCTCTGGCAGTGTTCCATCCCTCTTCCCAGCAGTGTCCCCTCCCCATGCCCTGGCAGTGTCCCATTCCCATGCCCCGGCAGTGTCACCTCCCCATGCCTTGGCAGTGTCATCCCCGCCGCATCCTGGCAGTGACCCCTCCCTGGCAGTGTCCTCTCCCTGTTCATTGGCAGTGTCCCTCCCCCACACCCTGACAGTGTCCCCTGGCAGTGTCCCTCCCCCGTGCCCTGGCCGTGTCCCCTGGTAGTGCTCACGTACCCGCTCCTGAGGGCAGTGATGATGCAGTCGGCGCAGAAGCGATGCAGACACTCCTTGGTGGTCATGGTGTTCTTGAGCATGTCCAGGCAGATGGGACACATGAGCTCGCTGTGCAGGCTCCTGGGGGACACCACGATCTCCAGGCCATCTGTGATGGCTTCCTGGCAGCAAAGAAGGGAAAGGTTCTTTCCTGGGATTGAGTCCCCTCCTCATGGAGATAGTGTGTTTCACCCAAGGAACACAGCAGAGAGACATGACACACAAACACATCAAGCACACAAAACCCCAGTGCTGCCAGCCCTGCAACACACAATAAACATAAGGAGCTGCTGGAGAGGGTCCAGGGGAGGCCATGAAGCTGATGAAGGGTTTGGAGCATCTCTCTGATGAAGAGAGACTGTGGGAGTTGGGCCTGGTCAGTCTGGACGAGAGAGGATGGAGAGGGGAATCTCATCAATATATAGAAGTATCTCCAAGGGGTGTCAGAGAACAGTGCCAGACTCTGTTAAGAGCTGCCAGTGGGTAAAGCTCTGATGTTTGTAAGGACATAAAGGATGAGGAGCGATGGCCATAAGCTAAAACACAAGCTCCACTCAACACGAGGAAGAACTTCTTTCCTTGGAAGGTGCAGAGCCCTAAACAGCTGCCCAGGGAGTGGAGTCCCCCTCTCTGGAGACATCCCAAACCCCCCGGGATGTGCCCCTGTGTCACCTGCTCTGGTGACCCTGCCTGGGGGCTGGGTGACCTCCAGAGGTACCTCCCAAGCCCAGCAGTGCCACAGCTCTGTGATTACCTGGGGTGTTCTCTGCAGCTCGTACAGACTGAGCTCCCAGGTCTTGCTCAGAGGCTGCGTCCCGTTGGTCTGCACGGCCTGAGACATGGCTGGGGAAAGAAGGGACAGGGGCTGAGCACTCAGGTGGGTCTGGCTCAGGATCCTCTCCCCTCCCAAGCCACAGCAGTGTGTGTCCAGCCCAGCAGAGGCTCCAGGGAACAGCAGTCCCCCCACGTACCAGGCTCTGCTGTGTCACACAAGGATAATCCCCTGCTTGTACCACTCAGGAGAACTGGGGGAGCTGCTCAGCCGTGAACGCTTGGCAAAAATCAATTCAGTAGCTAAACAAAAGTGACACAGAACTGAGGGCCAGAGAACACGGGCCACAAATGCCACCTGATGTGGAAAACATTCCTCAAACATCCACTTCCAAACAGGCACATGGGTCAGGCAGGGTCTGCTTCCTACACCGAGGGGAAGGGCAAAATGAGACAGGACACAGCACACCAGTCAAATGTGCTCACTGGAGCACACCACGAGGGCTTTTCCTTGTTCAAAACACATCCCATGGGCTTTCCCAGCAGAAGTTTGAAGGATACTCAAAGATCAAGAGAAACCCAGTCACTGCATAATTTAAATAGTAATAATAATAATGATAATGATAATTTCAAAAACCCAAAGAGAAACTGAACTGCTGTTCCATCAAAATTTTACTATTATTATATGAGATGAGGCAAAATTACCACATAGAGTCACTGCAGATGTGGGAAAAGTCTGGTCAAAGTGACAGAAGAAAATTATGTTTCTGAACAGAAAATACTTTTATGCTGGGGGAGAGAAGGCATTGCTTCCCATGACTCAAAAAATGCCTGCCTTGAGCAGGAAAGCTTATCCCAGAGAGTGGTATGTTTAAAAAAATAATTTTAATTATGTAAGTGGCAAGACTGCAGTTGCAGACCTTTTTTGTAGGTGGAAGAAGTAGAAGTGCTTTTATTCCTTCTTTAAATCTGGGTTTCTAGACCCTTCTATTCAGCAGCCAAATATATTTTCTATTGGCATCTACCACATACATTATAATCTATTTTCCAACTCATTAAGTTCCCCATGAAAAGTCCCAAACTCTCTGGAGAACAAGGTTACTACATAAGCTTTAATTAATTGTAAAGGGAAAAGCAAGATAAGCTGTGCAGAGTATTAGATCTACTTTCATCCAGGCACAGAAATCAGAGTCTTCTCACTGGGTATTATCCTTCTTTTTGAGGAAGGAGGGGGAAAAAAAAGTCTGACATAAAATAGCCACATCCACTACTATGTCTATTAATTAGAATCACAGAATCCTGCAATACTTTGGGTTTGAAGGAAGCTTTAAGACCATCCAGTTCCAGCCCCTGCTATGGGCAGGGACACTTTCCACTATCCCAGGTTGCTCCAAGCCCTGTCCAACCTGGCCTCGGACATTCCCAGGGATGGGGCAGCCACAGCTTCTCTGGGCAATCTGTGCCAGGGCCTCCCCACCCTCACAGGCAGAAATTTCTTCCCGACATCCCATCTAACCCTGCCCTCTGGCAGTCCAAACCTCTCCCTCTCAGAGCCACCAACAAGCAGTAGTTGTTTGGATTAATGCTGTGGCCAGAGGGCCATTCTTGTCAATCATTAAGAAAACCACCTTAATCAATATTTTATGGGTCCCTCCAACCCTTCAGACTGACTCAGTCTTCAGGCACAGCAAAAACCCTGAGCACAAACTCCATAATTACAGGGTAACACATCTGTCACTATCAAAGTCAGACAGGATTGATAAATCAACGTATTACACCTCAACATATCTGAAGAAAACCAGTTGGGATTTAAAAATTTAAGAATATAAGCCTTGTTCCTGAAGCACTGGAAAACAGGCATTTACAGGAAAAATACAAGTAAGAAACACCCTGTCTGGAAGGCCCTTGGATCTCTTGCCTGCTCACTGGCTGGGGAATTTATGCTGGGATGTCCTTCTTCCAAATGTGCTTGCACAAAAAACTCCAGCAGACTAATATCCACACTTGTTACACACCACATCCACTTCAGAACCTCTTAAACAGAAATATACCTAATTATTTACTCCAATGTAGTCATGACTGAAGTAGGGTGGGCATTTGGATATCCCACTCCTGAAACTGTCCAGTAAAACTGTCCACTTAGAGCAGTCAGATCTGTGGGCATCCAAAGGAGGAGCTCAGCATCACCATTTCTCTGCTCCTGCCCTTCCCAGCTCATTTTTCACAGGTTTCCACCCTCAGATCCACCAGTGAGTAAAAGCTCCTTAGTCCTATTGCTGAAAAAGTGTCAGGTCTGAATATGTAACATTTGCTGAGCTCTAGCCCAGCACTAACCTTGATGGTGGTCCTGCTTGAAACAGGGAGCAGGGGATGCCATCAGGGATCCCTCACAATCTGGATTATGCTCCAAAATGCTTTGCAGGGCCTGTTTCAGCCCAGACAAAGGCCAGAGAGCATCTGCAGTGTGGTTGTGTCAGCACACCTTGAGATCAGAGAAAGGCTGGAATGGTACCCAGCAGCTGGAGAGAGAACCCACAAACCCAGCTCAGGTGTGACCATAACCACACCACCCCCATTCAACTTTCTGTGATACTTCCATGAAAAAAAAACCTCTTATGAGGAAAAAAATTGCATCAGGCTCTTTAAAAAAAAAGATTACACATATTTTTAGAGAGTATTAAAATCTTAGAAATAAATGATTTCTGTTCCAAGTTGTAAAAGGTAAATATTTGGACTTAAAACAGTAAGACAGTCAGACCTCTATTGAGTGTGCCAAATTCAACAGCACTTTCAACCATTTCTGGGTTTTCTTCCTCAGGATTAATTCCTTTAAAAACAGGTATTCATAGTGAAGTTACTTGGAAATTTAAAAGGTTTAGAGCTTTAAGTTTTACTCTCTCTCACACTATGACTAGCATTGGGAACAGACTGCACGTTTTCACAGAGTACTCAATCAATTTCAGATTATTCAATTAAAGCATTCTGAAATTTAAGGTTTTTTCTGGTTTTATTTGTTGGCTTAGAGCTTGATTGGAAAGAAAAAATCCACACAATCTGGAAGACACTATTTGAAGGAATTAACCTTCCCTGCACTTCCCTGGCAGTTCAGGTAGCTTTACATCCAGCTGTAATCCAGGACAACTGGTACTAGATTATAATCTAGTATGTTTAGTATTCACTCTGAAGTTATGTGATGACATCTGACTGAGGGAAAAAATAATACTGGCATTTCTGAAACCTTGGAAGCACATGGTCTTTTACAGCTTCCTGGCTGTTATTTACTCTCCTAAGAAAGTGTTTTGCCTTTGAGGTATGGCATCTTCCAGCTCACAGCCAGTCACAATTCCCTGGCCCTGAGATGGATCAATGCATGGAGCTGGGCAGCATTTCCAACCTGGCTGTCAAGCTGCTGCTCCTGGCCTGGAGACACTGGAGTGTGGCCTCACACAAACCACCTGCTGTGCATCTGGACACCTCTGGAAGGGCTCCATGAATCCCATGCTGACAGAAGCATCCAAAGGGAGATAATCCTCCTGGTTCAGATGTCAAGGGCAACAGGGGAAAATAAAGTACCAAATTAAACTGTTGATCAAACTCCAGGCTGTTTTATGAGTGCTGGGAACAGCCATGTACTTCTGGACATAACACAAAGATGTGACTGATTTTAGGTTGGTGCTTCTCTGTATATTTACAGCAGGAAAGTGTAGCAGCATTGAAGCACCCTGAGCCCAGGTACATCCCTCCTGCGGAGCTGAGGCTCAAATTTCAGTTTATTCTAACAAGGTCTGTACTCTGTATGGATCTAGCTCTTCACACCACTCCCAGATCACTCCATTCCTGTCAATAACCTTCAGCCCTCAGTGTCAGCTCCTCATTCCCAGTTCTGTACCCTACCTTCTGAGACATTTCCTCAGCTAGAAAAACTGGAATACATAAAAATACCATGACATTTCCAGAGAACTATCTATATCATCAGTTGCCTCTAAGGTGTCCAGAATTCACCTGCTCAAACTCATCACATGTCAAACACAAGCTATTCCTAAATTACAAAGCCTAGACTTTTTTTTTTTTAATCTCAAAGGATTAATTTGAAGACTTTTCAGGTTTTGGTACACACACACACACACAGAAAAGCAAACATTGCCCACTGTTCTAATGCTTCAGGCAGTAAGATTATTTTAATCATTAGAGCTCAAATCCCGGAACTGAGCCTTTCACATCACCTATATCTCATCCAAAGTAGTATGAAAATATGTTACAACATTAATGCCTGCTGCCAGGAGTAGAAACAAAACCCAAAACTGTAACAGGAACAGCAACTTTTCACTGTTGATGTGGGTCAATAGATCAGGCAAACACTTGACCTCAAATGTGCCAAAGACCTTAGCCAAGAATTCATATAAAAAGGAAAACAGCCAATACCAAGCTATAATTTAGCCCTGTGAAGCAACAATATTAAGCAGAACTCTGGGGGAGTGAGTAGAATTGTGATTTTATCTGCTGCTTGTTAAATTTTACGCCAAGTTTTTCATATTATCAAGCATGGTACCGCATAGTATGTGTGTGACTACCCAGGTGAATTTCAAAAATAAAGTCCTTTATCTCTTAAATTAACATTGGACTTCAGAATTAATCACCAGCTGAGAAGGTGAAAAGCCAAAGTTCCTTTCTAAAATTCATTTCAGTGCTGTATCAGATCAGAACAGGAGGGATAAAGGACTGAAAACTTTTGGGAGCAAACAAAAGTAAAGCTTCAAACTCCAGAGAAGTTGAATCCGTCACAGCAGCTAAACTGTACAAATAATTCATAATAAGTGTTGCCTTAGGATATTTTTAATGAGATTTAGTTTTTAATTTTTCCTTGCCCTGCTCTGCTGGCACATTTTTTGAGGCTAACCACTCTCTTGTTGTGTCCTTGAAGTAACAGCTGCCAAAAGCAAGATCTGAGCACTTCAACCACTGAAGTGAAGTTTAATTATTTCAGCACCTCTGTTGTAGCCTTTAAATTTTCTGTACATTTTAACAAAAATTCTATAAACATCCATGCACTACAATTCAGAATCTTCTGCATCTTCATAAATACTGTGGTTCTGCCAGAGATATGTGCAGGATTCCAGGTTCCTTCCAAGAGCTATGTTAGAGAGCCATAAGGATTGCTCTCCCACTTGGCAGTGAAGCCACAACCAACAGCGACAGAATTTTCTTGATGAGAACAAAAAGACAGCTTGGTTATTAATAAACAGAAAATAAACTCCCCCACAACGCTTGAGAGACAAAAAGACTCAAGCAATTTTACGTCTGATTGACTTAATAGCTGCAATAAATATAATAAAAGCAAAACAGTGAAGTTGGCAAGCGGGCAGCTCTTACCTAAAGTGGGGCAACAGCAAAGAACAATTTCTGCTTCAAGGACTCCCCCACAAGTAAGACTGTCCATTTTGTGAACAGTACTACAGGAGCAACACTTAATACAATTTAAACCAATACTTACACAAAACAGTGCAAGGTTATTCCCAAGAGGTGAAGAGTAAAGAATTATTAGGTTTTAATTAGTTAGCAGAACACTACTGCTAACTCCCCGCTGTCTGCAAGAGAGCTCCAGGATCCACAAGTGGGGGGAAAGCAGACAGGGATAATTCCTAAAATATTTCTCCACTGCAACAAGTCTAAACAGCTCCACAATATCAAATGCTGCTCATTCCTTCGAAAATTAAGAATTTAAGGTCAGCTCTGACAGCCAGTCATTTGAATCAACAGAAAACCAAGCAGAAGCAAGCTGAGGCTCAGCAGTATCTCTTCAACAATCTCTTTACTCTCTGTTTGCTTCATGATTAAGCTGCTGACCTATTCAGAAAAAAAAAAAACAGGTAAAAGGTATTTAAGGAAAAAAAAAAAAGTGGAAGAAATTCCTTTACTCCAATGCTTCTTTCATGCATGTTCCTGGAGCTGGTGCTTCAGTAAGAGGAGATTCAGTGCTCCTAAGAAAAATACAACGGAGCAGTCGCAGACCAGAGTCTCATTTTTAAAGCTCATTTCCCTCCCCCATTACTTTTTTTTTTTTTTTTGTAAGCAAGAGAAAGAGTTAAAAGAAAGATGAAGAAATTCACTTAGCCCAATGTCTATTTCACATATAAGACTGATGGCTTTCCTGTATCCTGTATTTCTAGTCAATGACAGCAGAGCACTGAAAATGCCAGAATTCTGCTCCTATCACCCAAGATGTCCAACCAAGTCCTTATACTCAACCCATTACCACTCATCACTCCTAAAACACAAAGCATCATTGACTAAGGGAAACCCATGCAATTTATTTTGCTGGCACTTGCATATTATTTCACCTCTAAGACGTGACAGAAAGTGCTTTTCTTGGCAGCTGCAGCAAGGCTGGTGCTTCAAAGCTTTGAAGCCAAAGGCCAACAATTTTAGCCACCGAAGAAGTGAAAAAATACCTCCAATGTCTGTGTCCCTCTATTATAAATTTGAATGCAGACAACAATATTATTAAACACCGTAACAATTCATGAGGATTCTTGATTTCTGTCATTGCTGAAAGGCACTGTCACAGTCACACCCAGCCACAAACTTGTACCTGACACCGCAGCTCATGCTGGCCAGCAAAAATTCCTCCCATCTCCAATAAAGCTAATCCTTCCAACAAATATTTTTAATTCCAAATATACTGCTTATCCATATCCGCTGCTGTCACAGCCAGCGCCTCTGTCTTCGCTGACAGCTGAATGTCAGCTCTGAGCTTGACATGATGTATAAGAAAGTCAAATTATCTCATTACACAAGTTTTTAATGGAAACACAGATGAATACAAATCAGAGCACCTCTGCAGGGAACTCCTATGACAAATCGAGTCTTTGTCACTGAATGAATGACATTCGACAAAAGAATTCTCCCCAAGCAATAATAATTTCACCTGCACACCAGTCACAGTTTTTGAAACGCAAGCAATTCCCTTTAATCCTTAAAAGCCCATGTGCAGTGCACAGTTATCACATAGAACTACAACCACTTCCAAACAGGGCTGGATTATGAATTATCGTACTGGAAATCATCTTTCTCTACTAGCTGTCCTCTGGATTTCTGCAGAATTAGGCACTTGATCCAATTATTTTCCATAGAAGAGGGTCTGAAAAACAAACAGCTTACAAAAATCCCGAGAAGAATATTGCTCAGTGCTCATTTTATAGACACACGGTGCCATAGGGTTGGTGCAAGGAAGGCGAGCGATCCAGAAGAGCTCCTGCAGAATGCAAAACTTGGCAAGAAGCAAGCGCTAAATTCGTACGGGAAGCAGCGGGAGCGATGTGGAGGGAGGAGACACATCCTCGGCTCCCGGCACAGCGTTCTCCTGCACCTGCTGCCCTGTGGGAAGCGACATTTTCCCGGGAGCAGCCGGGTGGCTCCCAGCCCGCGTGTGAGCATCACGCCCCGCCAGCACCGCTCGGCACGGGCTGCGGGACAGACAAAAGACCGGCAAGGCCGAGCTATAAATCACACCCAGGATCGCAGCGCTCAGGGGGGCGATGCGCAGGGCCAGGGGAGCGGCGCGGGGCCGTGTCCGTGAGCTGCCCCCGGCCGGGGATGGCAGCGGCGGTGCCGGCTGCTGCTGCTGCGCTACTGCGGCTGCGATGGAGCCGCGTTCTGCCTCTGCCTGCAGCTCCCGAGCTGCACACACGCACCTCATATGCATCCCTACGTGCACGCATAGGGAGATAGCTGCGTGCATATAGGTACGTGTGTACAGATGGACACCCCGGCTGCTCCGGGCTCGGCAGCCCCACGCTGGCCCGGGGGGCGGCTCGGTGCCCCACGACCCTGCAGCACGGCCGGGCTGGGGGCAATAAACGGGGGCTCCAGGCTGCCATAGGGCCGCTGGCCACGGCTCCTGTGGGACACCCCGACCCCCGCCCCGCCGGAATAGCCCGGCAGCCGCCCCGCCGCCTCCCCGCCCGGGGTCAGCCCCGCTCGGACACCGCGCCCTGGCACCCGCGGCTCCGCACCCGCCCCGGTCCCGCGGGGACAGAGAGCCCCGGCCCCGCGCTCACCGCCCGCCGGTGCCGCCTCAGTCCGTGGCCGGCGGTGCCGCCGCAGCCCCCGCAGCACAATATGGCGAGCGGCGGCTCCGCAATGGAGCTCGGGAAATAGAGGGGAGTTACATATTCATGGCCGGGGCTGGGCAGGGGGAGTGCGGACGGGGCCGCCGCGCCCGGGCCGCCCCGCGCCCTCCTCCGCCTCCTTCACGGCCGGGGCGCGGCGGCCGCTGCCGAGGCTCCTCGCTGCTTCCCCCGCCCTGCCCACACCTCCGGCCCCGCCGCCGCCAGCGCTCCATATCCTTTTCCCTTCCCTTTAGTTTCCCGTTCCCGGGATGCGGCACCGCGTCCTGCGGGGCTCCCTCCGCACCACTGCCCCTCTCCTTTGACCGCCCTCCCCGGCCAGGGGTGGCTGAGCTGCGCCAGGAGAGGCTCAGGTCGCACATCTGGAGGAATTCCTTCCCCGGAAAAGGGAATTAGACATTGGAGAGGGCTGGCTGCCCGGGGGGCGGTGGAGTCACTGTCCCTGGAGGTGTTTAAGGACAGGCTGGCTGTGGCACTTGTCCCACGGCGTGGCTGACAGGGTGGCGTTGGGCACAGGTTGCCCTCGATGGTGCCAGCGGTGTTTTCCAGCCCCGGTGCCTCTGTGGTTCCCTCAGCCAGTCCCGGGGCCGGAGGGCGGGCGGGTGGCGGTGCCGGGCCGCAGCGGGGCCGGCCTGAGCTGCCCCCGCTGTCCCCGGGGAGCTGGGTGAGCCTGCGGGCCGCAGGAATAGGGCGATTGCCGCCTCATTGCCGGCTCCGCCACCGCGCTGCCCCGGGGATGAATGCACGGCCTCTGCTGGCTCTGCTGCCGGAGCTCCGGGGCGCTCGGACACCGCTCCCCGAGGGACGTGCCCGGAGCACCAAGGCTGAGGGGAGCGCTGAGCCCGGGCAGGGCAGGGAGGCACCGAGCCCAGCGCCATCCCCGCAGCCCTCAGACCAGGGACAGAAGCTGGAGCGGGACTTGCGGCGTTTCTGTTCACGATACACCTTCAGGTGTTCTCCAGCATCTCCGCTCTGCGGTCCTGACCTGAAATAAACGCTTGTCTTCCCGTGTCTGCGTTTTAACGTTTGGCAAATTAAAATTGTTTTTATGAGCTTTGGGTCTATGAGAGGTGCCTTTACTGGTCTTGGCATTAACTGTTTTATAGCGATAGCAAGGCAGCGCACTTAGTGTAATTAAGTCTGGTGTGAGTAAAAAGTGAACAGAGATCAGACGTGAGTTTGAATTAATACTTCAGTCTTTAATCATGCAGCAACATAATTAAGATTATTCGATATGGAGTATTTAAGGCAATTCAATACAGAGTATTTAAGGCAATTCAGTATGAAGTATTGTAAGTTTTCCTAGAGTGTTATAGTTAGTGTTCTCATCATTAGAATATTTTATAAGTCGTGGTTTGGACCTTCACCTCTTCTTGCAAAACGTCACATATTTTTGAGACATTCTAGCCTAAGTCAGATCATTCCTAAGTAACTGTTTTTATGGAGTAATTACTTTATATGGAGTAGTTTTTAATGGGGTGCACTCCCTCGCACCCCTTATGACCTATACTGCAGCCTATATAATTGATCCTTACAAGACATTGATAAGTTAGTCAGGGGTAACGTCTCTATTTTCTAAGAGTGATCAAATGTCTCAGATAAATCCCAGAGGGAGTCAGCTGTGGACAGGATTGAACAGTCCTTGCTCTTGATTTGGTTTCTTAAAGAATTATTTTCCTGAAGTGGGTTATGTTGAGCTCTTTCAGTGTTAAAGCTGGTACAGAATGGAATAAGAGATTCTGATACATTCCTCTCCTTAGAATGACACTAGTCAGAACTAATGACTAAAATTTTCCTCAAATTTCAGATATTCAGCAGTGCCAAGGAGAGGAAAATGTTGTCTGGCAACTTATTGTGGTACCAGAAGTGCCCTTTGGTAAAAATTGCTTCTCTTGTTAATTGCCTGCAGCACTGAGATGAGTGAAGAAGTTCTGATACTAATGCACCACTGCTAGTAAAATTTTTCTATGTGAGAAAAGCTTAATGCTGTGAAAATTAGATTTGCAAAATGAGAGCATGCAGTTGTCAGGAAGGCAGATCTCCAAAAGCAGATGGAGTGCAAGTGTTGGAATCACAGAATCCCAGAATGGTTTGGGTTGGAAGGGACCTAAAATTCATCTCGTTCCAACCCCCTGCTATGGACAGGGACACCTTCCACTCTCTTAGGCTACTCCAAGCCCTGTCCAGCCTGGCCTTGGACACTGCCAGGGATCCAGGGGCAGCCACAGCTTCTCTGGGCACCCTGTGCCAGGGCCTCCCCACCCTCACAAGAAGAAATCTGGTAAAGTGCAAAACTATACACTGGCATGTAAATTAACAAACTGTAAACATTTCTGGGAACCTTTTGCTGAAAGAGACACATAAAGAAATTCAACACATTTACGCTGTGCTAATGGTGTCCAGCTCTCTGTATTTCTAGGAATATTTGCTTGATTCTGTTTTATATTTCCTGTATTATTTCATAGTGGCAGCATGGATCTCCTCTGCAATGTGGTGCTCTTGCTGCTTTTAAGGATGTGAGAAAAGGCTGCCAAGTACTTTCCAAGTGCAGGCTGTCCTCCTGCCAAGCCATCAGCATCAGGGTTTGTGCTCAGGGCAGCTGTGGTGCAGATGCAGAGCTGTGCTCCCCAGCAGGAGCCTTGCTGGCACAGGGACACTGCTGCCACGTCCAGGGGATTGGGGACCATGTCCCTCATGCTCTGCACTCCCTAGATCATACCCAGATACTGTGTCCAGTTTGGGGCTCTCCCTGCAGGAAAGGCATTGACAGGCTGGAGGAAGGGAAGGCAAGGGAAGGCCCCAGGATGGCTGGGGCTGGAAACTTCCCCTGGGAGGAAAGGCCATGGGAGCAGGGCTTGCTCAGCCTGGGGCAGGCAGGGCTTTGGGGACCTACACATCCAGCCTTCCTGTGAGGTTACTGAGCCAAGGTGAGGTGTGACAAGAAGCCAAAACAAGGTGTTCTAGATGAGTACAGGGAAAACCCACTCCCCATGAGGACACTCAACAACAGCACAGTTGCCCAGCCAAGTTGTGCCATCTCCATCCTGGGAGGTTTTCCAAATGCAGGCAGTTCAGGCCCTGAGTGACCCCAGAGCTGACCTGCTCTGGGCTGGAGCTTGGACAGGGACCTCTGAGGGCCCCTCCAGCCCAAGATATCCCATCATCCTGTGATTCTGCACTTGGGTGCAAGACAAGGAAGCCTGGGAGATGGATAATATTGTATTTCAATACAACACAATGCTCTGTGTTGGGAGCATTTTTGTTCTCTGCAGCAGGTAGCAAAACCATGCAGCATGAGAGCTGAGAGAGCTTTCATCAGCTCCTGCTTTCCACTGTTCCTGCTGTAATGGAAACAATTCTTCTGCTCCTTGCAGCAGGAAAATAATAGTAAAGAAAATTACTCCAGTCAACTGAGACATGTTGTTTCCATGTCATCCTTTCAGGTAAAATATTTATTACCTGTTAAAGTGATTGAAGGTCACCTGTTCATTTCCTTTCAGAAACCAGCATAGAGAGGGAAGGAAGAGAAAATAGTCATGTTGGAAAAATCTGGAGGGAGAGAACTGTAAATAGGAGGCAAAAAATGGGGAAAATCAGGAGAAAATGTCCATGTTGGTGCATTACTCCACTGTAACATTACAGTACATTATAGTAAAGCAAGATAAAGGTATAAATAAATTATAGCAAAGGAAAACTAAATGGGCATTGGCAGGATGAGGTAAGGTCTGCCCTAGCAGTAGTAAAATAATCCTTTTCCCATGCCAGACAGAGCAGGAGGGATTTCTGAGGCATTTACCCTTTGTGCAGGGTGCAAACTGTGTGCAGAGCAGCTTTGCTCAGGATCAGCTCAGGTACAGTGGGGCAGGAGGAAAAGGCACTGAGGTTCTGAATCAACTCTGGCTCAGGACCAATGGCTTTGCTACAGTTTAAGATTTAGATTCTTTTAAAAAATAAAGCAGAGCAAGCAAGCTGTGTGATCTTTAGTGAAAAATATTTGATGTTATTAATGGGAAAAAAGGGAAATTAACCAAGATTGCTCAGCACAGATTGGTATTGTGTGGTAACTGTGATGTGCCTCTTCCTCCTGCCAGAGCTGTAGCAGGCTGGTCAGTATGTCCAGTGGCAGTCAAGGGGAAAAGCCCTTTTCTGGATCATAAGAGACCTGCAAGATAATACCCCAGTGATATATCTGCAGAACTTTGCAGATTGTGGCTTTATTTTGAGGCTTGTAGACAAAATAAGTGAGAGGGAGAGAGTTGGGGCCAATTAACTACTCACAGAGGTAACTTGAATAAAGGCAAATGGTAACAGAATCCATGTTGTTCAAGGATCAAGATGTACAAATTAGGGATTCTATTGGCTGTATTCCTCTGGAAAAGAAGCTTGGCATGAGACATTACAGGCTCTTCAGTATTGAGGCCCTGCCATTATTAAGTATTTGCTTTCAAAAAAGTAATTTAAAATCAGTATTTTGTAGCCAGCATTTGACACTAGAGGAAAAGATACGGCTAAAAACAGCAGCTGGTAAATCCAGAATGAGCTGGGAGTGGAAGAGATAGGAGCAGGTAGTAAAAGAGTGGATCTCATTTAGGAAGTGTCAAAGACTTATTTTTACCCCTCCAGTGTATCCCAAATATTTCCATGTACTTGATCCCAGTAGAGCTTTAGTGGAGAAATGCACTGCTCAGGCAGTGAGCAAGCAGGGACACCAAATCTTCCACCTTTGATGGGAACAGTGCCAGGCAAAGTTCTCTGATGCAAATAGGGAAATAGATATCTCAAATATCTCAACTCCAAACTTGTAATATAACAAAACAGAAGGATGATGATGATAATAATAATAACAATAATAATAATAATCCCACAACCACAGCTGGGGAACAACAGCAGGACACTGCTATCAGTGACTGGTAGTAATTCAGAAGTGTTTTCATAGCAGCATTCAACTGCATGGTTCAGAAAGTGATTGTATCAGCAAAATAAAAACAGAGGTCAAAACTGGCCAAGAATTGGAGGAGTAGCTGCAAGATACTATTATCTGTTTCATAAAGTGAAGTTTCAGGCAGTGATCAAAGGGTTTTGCCAGTTCAATAAATGAAGGATAGTTCCAAGTA